CTCATCCATTTTTCAGATAAAAATAAGTAAAATATACGGCCTCAGTTTCACATCACTGAACTACATAGAGATCAGCTACATAGAGTGATGGGTTACATCAACTCGGCGCTATATTAGAAATTGTATGCAACTGGCGTATTTCTGGATGTTACTCAAGCTTTTGACAGAATTTGACACCAGGGTCTCGTTCTTTAGCTCAATACTTCCATCTACAGACTTATTCCACAATCCTTCCTTTCCGACAGATTTTGATGAAGCTCTGATGTTCAGGATTTTTCTTTTTTTTAAAGTTCACCATTTATTTATTTCGTTCTTATTTTTTTATGCAAAAGGTATCGATAAGTGTTGCTCAATATGTTCTAATTGCAGAGGATTTCTTCTCAATGCGTCTTTCAGCTGTGAGATCCAATTAACAAGAGCTGCAACGCGTCTTTAATATCACTGCGACACCAGCGCGGTGGCCTGGTTCCGTTTATTTACCGTATCAGGGAGAACATTTAATTAGGGGAAATTGCTATTAACTCCTCGTGGTGCCCCATTTCGAATATTATAGAAACCCAGAATCCAAATTACCAGTAAAGGCGTTTCATAATTACTGTTTCCAAAAAATATTTAAACATATTTTCGGTTCATAAACCTCAGACACAAAAAAAAAAGTCAAAAGGCTTCAGTGATTGTATGAAATGAAAACCTCCATTGTAGTATTTCTCTGACTCTAGTAGAAAGTCCAGACTATTATGAATGAGGAGGCTTTCAGCATGTAGTACAATATTTTTCATATGAATAAATACTTTCCTTTTCAGGTCTTAGTTTTTCAATCAAATATTTAAATGATAATCATTTTAGTGATGGTGAAATGATAAAAAATCTTTACCACGACAATACCTCCTTTACCTACTCCTGTTAATGATGAAGGGTACACGTCCAGCAAGTGCTCCCGTGGCCCTTTATGCCAATCCCTGGTTGCTAGGCTACCTTAAGGTTTAGATTCATGAGTGTTTAAATTCATTTCACGGGGCAGCCAAGAAATAAATATTAACCGACCCAAGCAGGAATCGAAGCCACAACGTTCAGATTAGACACAGTTCAACCCAAGCCTCAAGTGCAGAGCCATCATATCCTCAGTTCTATGTCTTAGGTTTGTGGTACTTTATAAGGAAGTGCTTTTTCTTGACCAATGGTTGTGCTATGATTTGATTCAACCGTGGTGGAGCCCATATGGCAGGTTATCCGTCCTAATTTATTCATTTATTGAGACTACCCACTTTATAGAGATTGGTGTGTCTCTGGAAGATTTCCCAAACCCAGAGTCAATCCACCATTTATGTAACAGAATATTTCAGTTAAAAAACAAAACAGAAAAAGTACAGACTACACCAGGCTTGAAACTAAAACTAGGAGTATAAGATTACAGTGCCTTACTCACTGAACTGCACCACTCTCATTAATGATATCAACTAAATGAAAAGGGAGTCTTGGGAAAATTTAACAGAATCATTTTTTCGTAACATCTCTACTGTCATCATCCTGACTAATAAAATAAATCTGGTGCGCGCAACACACAACTTTTACCGCTCAACTTTGAATAGAAATGATTTTCTGGCCATGTCAGGCTATTATAAAATTTTTGAATTGGATTTATAACTGAGCTAAAGCCTTAAGATTGTAGCTAACAAATCATAAATACTATTAAAATGACAAAAGTCCTATTTATTATATCACCGGTTGGTTATAGATTGTACGATTCGTTGATTATGGATTGTAGGACTAATAGTTATTAAACTGTTATTTTCCATTGCAAAGTTTACTAAAATGGAAGTAAGAGATTTGTATCGTTTTAAATTTCTTTGAAAACACGTGATTAACGTTAAATAATATCAGTTTTTAGAAATTATTATTTATATTTTTTTCTACCTTTTTAACCTTTTTATTTAATATCAGATCTAGAGATATTAAACTACAGTAAATATATTTAAGGTTATAAACATATCCATGAAATATTTTTATATTTCACATCTTCATTCACAAAAGTACAATGAAATAGTATCTTAAAAAGGCAATGCTGATCGTGGGTTTCAAATACTTTTACAAACCTTAAAAAGAAGTTTTAAGTTTACATTTAGTGAGAAAATTTCATTTAATTTCCTTGAAAACACCTGATTTAGGTTAAATAGTGTTAGTTTTTTAAATTAATAATTTTTTTTTCGTCACTCTCCGTTATCTTCTACAACTTTTTCCGCTTTTCAATGATATATTATATGTATACCTTCGGACTATTATTCCCGAATGTTCATTTTCAACCTAGATAAGTATTTTTCTTTTTTTCTCCCTTATTTAATTATCAAATTCTTCCAAAAGTTATATTTAGCTTTTTTTTCGTAACTTTTAAAGGTACTTTAGAGGAAGACGTATATGAACACTGTGCATTTAAGCCCTGTAAGTTATATTAAAGACCACTTAATTATACAATGATACACCGACTTTAATCAAAATCGTTAGAGCCATTTCTGAGAAAATTGTAAAAACATTTCAGCGTTGATATAAAGTGGCACTAACGGTTAGCCGATCTTAAGGAAAAGTTGCTAGGACATCTAAGGCATATAACTATCTTAAATACGTAATATCAGTTTCGTATGACTTTTCATTTTCGAGCTAGAGTGTTCACATACACACACACACACACAGAGATCATGTTTCGGGACTTGGTTATTTGGACTCAGGGTACCTCATAACGTGTATTTCCTTTGAAAACTCAGACTCGAAAATTTTCAAGATCGCAATACTTACCCTTACTATATATTACATAAATAGGTAAGTGAAAGTAAACAAATAGTGTAGTTTCTAGTTCATTTAAAACTACTCAAGTAGATTATGAAATTGAATTAATGTATCAATGCCACTATATCAAAAAACATTTTCTAGTTGTCTTTAAATAATCATAAACAAAAAGTGAACACTACAAGTAGATATACATGATGTCTATATTTATAACTGTGATTATGCATGATGCAACATGTTGTTTGTAGGTATTTCAACATTTTAAAAAACTATTTTGTAAAAACGGACACTTGAAAGAAATTGCCATCCCTTTTGGAACAATATTTTATTTAATTGGTAACGCCGGTGGCCCCATGGGTAATTGGCGGCCCCATCGCCCGGTCACTGTACTGCAAATAGCCACTGACCCTCCAGGTTGGGGGAACAATACACTGACACATATACAGTACACAATCTACAGCACACTACATATACCCACACACTACAGACTTCCTGTAGAACTATTTAAGCATGGAGCTAATGAACTCTTCAAACTCCTTCACAACTTATTGGTGACCGTATGTACTGAGGAAATAATGCCTACAGACTGGAAGAAGACAATCATATGCCCGTTGCATAAGAAGAGAAACTTATTGAAATGCTCTAATTATAGCGGTATTGCTCTGCTCCCGTGCGCATATAAAATTCTATCAAATATCCTGTTCCACAGACTATTACCGTTTTCGGAGCGAGAGATTGGGCGGTATCAGTCCGAACTGTACCTGTTCAGATGAGGAAGGTCAACGATCAACCAGATATCCTGTCTGAGGACTATACTGGAAAGGGGATAGGAATATAAGCTCAAAACTCTCCACCTCTTCGTCGATTTTAAATCATCCTACGACACGATTGATCATCGAAAGTTGTACGGTGCATTACGCCAGTTCAACATCCCCTCCAAGTTTATCAGACTGAACAAGTTAACAATGGACGAGGTGGTGTGTATTGTTAATATAAAGGGCAACGTATCAGAGGAACTTTCTACGAGAAGGGGTGTAAGACAGGGTGATGCCTTGGCATGTCTCCTTTTTCTCTTGGCCCTAGAAAAAGCAGTTCGTGAGTCCCAAATAAAAACATCTGGCACGATCTCCAATAGGACTGTTCAGCTCCTCGCTTTTGCCGACGATATAGACATTATTGGGCGTTCTCGGCAAACGGTGGAACATTCATTTCTGGACCTGGAGGCTGCAGCGAGGAAACTCGGCCTTGACTGTCAACTAGAAAAAAACGAAATACTTGGCAACCCAGGACATGGCACTAGGGTGAGTTTTGGAGCCTTCAGGTTTGAACAGATATCAGAATTCACATGCCTGGATTCGCAGATCACTGTTGACAAGAGAATTTTGCTGGCCAACCGAATTTTGCTATTATGGTATGATCCAACATATGAAAAGCACTCTGGTAACTGAGCGTAGCAAAGTAATCCCCTACAAGACACTTATCAGATCGGTTTTAAGTTATGCATCAGAGATCTGGATGATAACCAAGGCAGCCGAGCAGGACCTCCTATATTTGAAAATTCTAAGAATTTATGGTCCAGTGTATTTTAATGGACAGTGGAGAAGGAGGAAAAATCAGGAGATCTACCAGTGTTTTAATGAGGCCAATATTGCCAATTTTATAATAGCAGACCTTCTCAGATGGGGAGATCATATGGCCAGAATGAGAGACGACATGATCCCAAAGAAGGTATTGGTTGAAATCCTGCATGGAGCGCGATGAGTAGGAAGACCATAGTTAAGACGGAGGGACAGCATGGACAAAGAGACCAGGAAGCTAGGAGTTCGAGACTGGATGGTGGCAGCACACTTGGTGGATGCTGTTGGAGGAGGCCATGATTAGTTGTAGACCCAGCATAGATAGATAGTTAACACCCTTGAATGTTTATATAGGTTTCCTAAACCAATCAAATCATTGTTATTATGATAGTTATATTGTTTCTTTTCATTCATCTACATTGTATTTATGAACCTCCTTAATAGGCCAAAACCAAATATAGTGAAAGATATTTTTATATTAACATCATAAGCATTAAAAGTATCAAAAAATGACAATTACAAACAATAAGAGAGTGGGACTTTTTTTATAGTATTAAATTAAATTAAGGGGGAAAATCAAAAAATTGGAAACGTTGCTTTGTTCGATTTAATTAAAAATTATAATTAAAATAAACCCAAATTTTATTTCAGGATTTTTTATGCATTTTGAGCAAAGTATCACGAGGAAGTGTGGAAGAAAAACTTCAATGGGTTTTTGGCCTATATGATCTGAATGGGGATGGATTGATCACCAAAAAGGAGATGCTTGAGGTGGTATGTTCCATCTATGACATGCTTGGCCGATCCACCCAGCCTGTGGTGGAAGAGCACTCTGCCAAAGAACATGTTGAAAAAATTTTTCATGTAAGCATCCTCTTACTCTCATATCATTATAGTTACATGTATAAGATTGATTATGTGTTATTTATAAAATAATTAATAATAAACAAAAACATTTTTCCATGAGATATATCCCCATAAATACAATATTTAATTGAATAACCAGCATTAAAAAAAGTGGAAAACTACTTCATTTTCCTTTATCAATATAATTCTTCTTTCAAAAGGACAAGAATCTATCTGAGAAATATTATGAAGGAATATTAGATTAAGGAATATCTAATGAGGTGGGGAAGAACCTCTCTTTCAACAATGATGAGATTTAGGTAATTTTAATTAATTTAAATTTTAGAAGATATCTACTCAAATAATAATTTATTTAGGAAGTACATATTCAATGCAGTGAAATCAAGAATTATAACTGAAAAGAAGTGTATGATTGAACTTAATGGAAGCTTTTCATCATTACATCATAAGAGTGCTTGATACAACTTCAGAATAATTAGAGCTATTGAATTATTTTTGGCTGGTTAGGATTATGAGTCATTATTATAAATACACCTGAGAGTGAATGTCATGAAAAATCATGATTTAATGTATGGTAACAATCTAATCATGATATAGTGTCTTGTAATAAAAAAAACATGGTTGATTAATAGAATTCATTAATTTAAATTTATTCCATAAAAATTATAACAACTGTTTTATGTGAAAGCTATTATACCCGATCGTCACGTTGCGGTGAATAGTGAAAACAGATCAGGTCAGATCTAAAAGATAAAATTTAATCTGTGCCAGCTATCAGATGCACTCAACCCCTTCCTAGGCAGAGATTCCCAGAGGCATCAACTAAAGCAGACTGGAAGGTCCTCTCAGTTAAGTAAAATGTCTATGCCAGCATAAAAGGGTGAGTTTATTTTACACAATTCATATAACATACCACTTAATCAAAATACAGTCCACTGCCAAAATAAGTTGAATGTTGCTTATATTGAACTAACTAGAGTTATTTGCCTTTACTTTAATTATTCGACTACTGCAGCACTTACTAGACAAACTCTCTAAGCTTTCAATCGATTACAAATGACTCATATATATGACAATAATAAGACCTATTCAGACTTACGGAATTGAGCTTTGGGGCTCCACTAAACCATCGAATTCCTCCCTTATCCAATTCTTACAATCCAAAATCCTTTGTAAAATCCTCAACGCTCCTTACTTTGTCACAAATAAAATCATCCATAAAGACCTTAATGTTCCATATGTTTCCGATTTGGCCCAATCCAGATACCTATCCTTCCATAACAAACTGCAGAACCATCCGAATCCTCTTGTTTCAAACCTTGCTTCCTCCTCGATCCCTGATAACCCTCCGAGGCGTCTGAAAAGAACTGAAAAGAAGCCTCCGGACCTTCTAATATAGAACTTTAAAATTTGAGTTCTACCAATGGGTAGTTTCCCTTCATGTTGAACATGTCATGTTACCAATGTCACATTTACTTGTTGTATTTTTCATGTAATACAGTTGTAAATTTCATTAAAATAAAAAACTTTAATTAAATTTAGAAAGTTGCCTAAACAATAATTGTACACAGATTTTATCCAATTGTATACAGGAATTATACATATATTAAGCCTGTTGAGGTTATATATGTATGTTATAGCTGTTTATACTTTTCTGGTAAAATCCTTTATAACTTCAATTAACTTTGTGACGAAGCCCACCCTGCGAGCTATAGAGGTTGTGAGGTATATAAAAATCTTGACAAATAGAGATCACGTAACTTAGCCGTGAAAAACCTTGAACCTACTCAGAAAACTTGCCCTGAAGCACCCAAAATTGAAAATCAAGACATTTTCCCAGCATTGCCGACTTCACCTTCCCATTCAATAACAACCACCCATCTCTACAGTTAAGGGCTATCCTCATCAGAATCCTAGAAATTCTTACTCCTAGTCTTCCATCAGTAAGAAGCAGCCTCAAGACATTATATCGTGATTAGATGGTTACCATACATTAAATCAGGATTTTTCATGGCATTCACTCTCAGGTGTATTTATAATAATGACTCATAATCCTAACCAGCCAAAAATAATTCAATAGTTCTAATTATTCTGAAGTTGTATCAAGCACCCTTATGATGTAATGATGAAAAGCTTCCATTAAGTTCAATCATACACTTCTTTTCACTTATAATTCTTGATTTCACAGCATTGAATATGAACTTCCTAAATAAATTATTATTTCAGTAGATATTTTCTAAAATTTAAATTAAGTAAAATTATCTAAACCTCATCATTGTTAAAAGTAAAAAATAAAATAAATAAAATGGCTTTATTTTATTCATACACACTTTATGTATTTATTTTTTAATATTGACATACTTTTTATTATCTTTCATATTTATATATAATTTCTTTTGCAGCTAATTGATACAAACAAAGATGGTGTTGTAACAATAGATGAACTGGTGGAATGGTGTTCAAAGAATGAACAGATCCTCCAATCCCTCGAGACTTTAGACACAGTCCTGTGATGGAGCTACGTCAAATTGGCCTGACGACTAGGCACACTGTGTCACTTCAGTGATTTGCAAGTCTAGGTGTTCTGGGTGAATTTTTTTCACTTCTCGGGCAACCTTGCCATTAAGTCGTAGATGATTCCTTAAATTTGGTAACAAAGATGATTTTAAAATAAATTGAAAATTTTCATCTGCGATCCAACAATGAATCATAAATTTTTACTCATGAGTTAATGATAGAGAATATTCACTCTCTTAATACGCCCTAATCCATTTTTACTAACAAAACCATTACATAAAATTATATCAAATCTTGTTGAATACCACTATAAGCAATTTAGTATGTAATATATAATTGTTGAAAAATTATTGACTCACAAAAAAAATGTAATAGAAAATGCCGCTAGGTAAGGTAAATAAATATTTTAAGTTGACATTGAACTAATTTACATTCCAGCCTTGTTATTTATGCCATGTTACTGTCAATATTGCTTTTTAAAAGTTACTAACTAATTAAACACATAATTTGGCCAATGTTTTCAATTAGCATATAAAAAGCCAATTTATTTATAATCTCTCTCTTAAATTTCGATTGTTAATATGTTAATACTATGTAACTTATATTATTAACTTTATCATAGTTTTAATATATGTATATTGAAATATCCACAGAACAAGGATTTTGGAATCTGAAAATCTAAGTACTTTAAAACATTGTTTTAAATGTTGATTTTTTTTAATAGATTTTCACTTGTTATTGTTACTGTATAGAATTATTGTAAAGAAGATGAAGAATTGTGGGTACTTAGCATAGGAAATTCTGTGTATTTTTTAAATAAAACCATTGTATAAACAATAACGACTGTAAATATTGATATGAGGGGTCACAATTGAATTTGAATTATTTAAAATTATCCAAATATTTAAAATAGAGTAAGTTAATGTTAAAATATCAAAAATGATTAATTGCCTCACATAAAACTTAACTATTAATTCCTCATATAAAACATGTTGAAGAAGACTGTAAAATGAATAAATTTCAATTACTGTATTTATATAAATACCTAGCAACTTTTCCACAGTGGATATCATTATTTTACAAACCTAGAAATTTTACAATAATAGAAATTCTGTTTGATAAATTTGTTGTGAAAAGAGCTAAATATACAGATTTATGATTTTAAAAAGTCTATTACAGAATAATAAAATATTTCTACTTTCTTTTTTTCTACTTTGTATTATCCATCTATTTATTGATTCATTTATATTATATCTATTTGGATAGATTTTAGTAGATACAGAATGAGGAAGGTAGAAATACAATTTTATAGATTAAACATGAATATTTTAATTAAAACTACAAATAACTAAATACTATCTTACTAATATCAATGTCTTAATATGAACTTGGTACAGTAGAATGAGTTTATTTTTAACTTGAAATTATGGATAAAATAGTTAATCAGTTCAATCAACCTTACATATTGGTCTGTTATACTCTCCTCCTTTTTCATTAGCATATATTAAATATATTTTAACATTTTTTTTTTTTTTTTTTTTTTGTTCATTTTGACAATATCCTGTTAAAAAATATGGAAGTTTTTTTTGTTTCTCAAACATCAATAAAACCTACTCATTCCAAACTAATGTAATTGCAAATAAATTCAATACTATACGATTTTGAATAGCATATTAATGAGTAAGAACATGTTCAAATTAGCTATTAACACATCAATTTTTTTTTTCAAGGATGTAAAGGTATAGTTATAGCAAACAGGAATAATTTATAATATTTTATATCAGCATTTTTTTTAAAAACATGATTGGTTATATTTAGTAGCTGTATGTGCATTATAATTTTTAAAATCTAACACATTGTGATTGATAAAGTATTTAGGGTTAGATCAGTTCAGTAATAAATATGGTTCAACAAAAAAATAATAATTTTTCCATTTTGGAGGGCTTCAACACAAAAGCTCCTCCCCTCCCCTTTAAATCCGCCAGTGGCTTAACAAATAACTGCGAAGCACTCATGGTTTTAAGAGAAAAGATTTTTCTTAAAATTTATCAAATCTCTCCATTAGGCAATGTTGGTTTTAAAATAATTAGAAGATTCTCAAAACCTAACAACAATTCACACAAACTCTAATTTACAAATGTCAGTGTATGGTAGTGGGATGTTTCAATTCCAGTTTTACTCAAGTACTTCAATTCTTACATTTCAATTCGTATGAATTGAAACGTAAGAATTGTATGATGTACAATTCAAATGTATGATATAGCCTTTTTTTGTCTTTGTTAATTGCTCATCATGACAATTTCATAAGATGAATAATAAATATCCAAATCTCTTCCATTCCATATTGGGAACAGTAGAACTAAAAGTAAAAATTTATCTGTCAAACTATGTTTGCAAGCAAGTCATTTTATTCTTATTCAAATTAAGATGTTTTCCTGGTTAATATGTAAAAAATAACAAATTGAAAAAAGAAGTGTAATCATTCCATGAATGGACGGTCTCTACTACCTCTGCTGATTTCAAGTCTTAGTAAACGCACTCACAATAATTAACACAGTTAACATAAACAAGTTTTTTAAAACTTCATCTGGTTTTTTTATACTACTAAATTTTAAAAATGTTATATTTATTTATTGTGGTTAATGATTAATACAGACATTATTTTCAAGCAGTGAAAAACAGAAAAATCTGCACTAAAAGAATTCAAAATGCATAGAAACATGCAGTGAAAACCCAAAATGTGTAAAATTGTGCACATATTGCTTGACAAATTTTTATAAAAATTAATAATATGAAATATAATTAATCACAAAATTTAGTATGAAAAGAAATAATAATATTAAATTTAAGTACATAGGTGTTGATGTAATATAGAAAATTTGGTTCAAATATTGAAATTTAAGCAATTAAAATAGGAAGTGCAAAATATGAAAATCATCCAATTTAATCCCAAAAGACTGAAATATGCTATTTCGTGCTGTTTTAATTTTAATAAGTTATTCCACAGATCTTGAAGCAGATAAATTGGGTATGTATTTGTTACACACAAAGTAATAAAATGTGCAATTACATGGAAATCCAGTCTCTGCAGAAATAAAATCAAATGAGACATATTTTCAGCACTTTCTTTATAAAGGCATTACGTCATTCACATATCTCAAGTTATGAAGTTTCAAGGTGAATACTCAATCTTCAGGAACAGGATTTATCATCTCAGTTATAAAAGATTAGTACAACCATAGTACTTAAATTAAAATTATCACATTGTAAATTAGAATGTTATAAAAATTCTAAACATAGCTATTTTATACATATTTCATATTACCTTGTATACGTATGGAACACAGAGAACTTCAGTTTTTAGTAGATACAAAAATATAAAAAAGGATTCTATATTGTATTAAAAATAAATTACATATATATACACACGTACAAGGACTTTGATCATTTTTGAGTTTCTAGAGACTTATTTATTATTTTAAAGCTCCTTTGATAAGTTCAGGAAAATTTGAGGCACTGTATTTTTGGTAAGTTTATCGACCCCTAGAAACAAGTAATGTCAACAATATGTATTTTATTGCATTTTATAATTAAATGCTCCATAAAGTGTTTCCTAAATTGGAATTGACAAGTAATCATGTTTTGCCACAAATCTAGAGGCTTAGGTGACAAATCTTTCTTGATTTTCACTTACATATCAACTGCTACACCCAGGCACACGATTGACCCCTTTAGTTTTGCAATTTTTAAAGGAAATATTAATAAAACAAAAAATTATGATAGTATTAAAATTCATTTGAACAATAAAGAATAACATAGAGAAAATGAAAGGTTGAATTCTTAGAGTTGATACTTCACAGTGCTATAGTTCCACGTTTTAGCCTCTGTTAGAGCCAGGAATGTGAATTGATTACACTTCTCTCTTTTTTTTTTCCATTATCGTCAAGTACTAAAAATTTAAAAATGTTATTGCTATTTTTAAATGTCACACCCCAATTAATACATTATTTATTACTCAACTCATATACTTCCAGTTACAGCATGAATGCCACTTTTACTGTTGAAATCTAATTGCTAATTGAAATTTATTTCTTTATCCTGAGTGAAGGAATTTCGCTATTGAGAAGGGTGATAGTAATTAATTCTATGTTGGCCTGGAGTATTCCTTTATAATCCTTGAAATTATGATTTTATTTTTAATCAATAATATTTAAATTGGATTTGGAAAAAAATTTAGGAAACTGAACACTATATGTTAGCATTAAATTCCTTGTTATATAAGGACTCCATAAAATTGAGAAGATGAGCAAGTTATAAGTTCTAATGTATTACAATCATGATAATAAATATATTGCCTTCCAACACAAATAATGGGCAACTCACAAATATTAGTTTAGTAAAGATATCAATTAAAATGATTGTAAATTGACCAAAAATTTTAATTTATAAATACAGCAATTGAGGTGCTCATAAAATTGTATTAGTGGTCCTATTATTCGTGAGGGAACCTGATATGTTAATGTTAAAAGTGAAATATCTTTGACAATAACAATTTCAGGCAGAAACTGTTATTATTTTATGTAACAGTAATGTTTGTAATGTTAATAGTTATTGAGAACAATTGGATTTAAATGAAAAATTATAATGTATACTGAACATCTTGGAAATTCTTTTGTTATTACAAATATTTTCTTATTATAATGACAATATAATGAAAAAGTAATTGGTTTAGGGTCATGTAGTATTATCATTTATTTGTTAATTGACATATCATTTTACATGAAAACTCCAAAAGTGATCATGTTAGTTAGTGCTTCATTATAATATAAACATAACTACAAGATGTAATCACAGCTCTAGCAGACTTCACAAAAAGAGCATTGCTATGAAGCAGTGACTTAGATGACCCTTGAAACTGAAATTTCAAGCTACTAGTAAGTGAAGTTAATTACTGTATGACCAAAAGCCAATTAATTATTTATTACATTATAGAGAGGATCAAATAATTAGTTTATCTTATAGTCATACTCACATATTAATATGAGTAAAGAAAGTTATATTAAAATATTATAAAAGTTATAATTATGAAATTATTTTTAAAAAATAAATCAATTTTTATGTGATTAAGCAATGG